CACGCAAATTGGTAATGGGTTTTATGCTCCCCAAAATCAACCCTTTTCACCCAGCATCATCTTGTTATCACAACTCTACCCTGACTTAACAAACTGTATTTTTAAGATGTATAACAAATTTCGCCCCTGCCATAATTTGTAAGTAACCAAGTAGTTCCTGGTTTATACTAACCAAAAAGATTTCAAATGGACTGCTATAATTAAATGCAACAGCTAAGTCTAGTTTTACAGATATTCCATTACGTCGCTCTCCAATCGTCGTGCGTCGTTTAGATTAACGATGTATGGATAAAATGGGTTAATATATGCATTTTCTAATTTGTTTATTGCATGTACATCAGTTTATCAAATACCGGTGCATAATATTTATTCATGATTACTTATCATACTTGGAAAATCGTGACCGTTTCAATAAAATACGCTTCAAGAATACGCCCTCTATAATAACGTGGAGCCCAGTACTGTGCAAAATGCACGCTTTTCTATGTATGTGCCCATAATTGTAGACTGTTATAAAATGAGTACTGGAAAGTACATTTTAGTGGATTCTGACCATCAGAACACTTCTGTGGTGTAGTACACCTTTGCACGTCCCCTGCGTTGCTCACGTCCTTCGCGCTGGACTGTATGGATTGAATTACTCTTTCTTCTTGCTTGTTTGCACGGACGATTCCTTGATGGTACCCTTGGCGCTTTTGATATCTTCCTTATCCGCACACTTCAGAAAGCACACTTGTCCCAACATCGCATTCTATCATGACATCCAGGTGTACTGTGAATTCCTTGGTTAAACGTTGGGTGCACGCAAACACTGCAGTATCATCATTTCGGTAGGTAGCCCATCTTTCTTCTGAGCAAACTATCCACGATATGAAATAGTAGTCTTCATTTGCATACTGAAGCTTTTCGACGAGGCATTTTGTTAACAGCTGGTCTCCAAATCGCCTGTAGTTGGGGACAAGATCCCGGGTAATATCACGTGGCAGAGGTTTTGTACGAGGTCGAGGGGCCTGGTTGTTTGCTTCAGCCCTTCTGAACAAACGCCATGACTCCTTTCCTTCGAGATTTCTATCATGGTGTTTGTCTTCTTCTGTGGAGCGTATATGGAAAAAGATGCGCAAACAACATTCTCCATTGCACTGAGACTGAAGATCTCATCTTATATGGCACAGCAATAATAATCGTTTGAGATATTTGATACGCTTATCTGTCAAATTTCCGCGGTCTACAGTGAGTAGCTGTTGCGCTTTCCTTTTCAGTATTGTCCCCATCCGTTTTGTCACCTAATTCACACAATCAATCTTCCCAATATACACACCTTTTCTATACACTACCTCATGGTAATGCTGCCAGGTCTTTAGAGATGCATTGGCAGAGGCATATCCACCATGCTTATGAAGCGACACAACTGTGTAAAACCAACATACCATTCATGAATGCAGGTGACAATAAACGGTTATTAATCGTAAAGCATGTCTGCACTGTACCATTGTTCTGTGTCGTTATGGCCCCGGTAACATTTCCACTATGATCTCTGCACTTCTTTATAAAAAGATGAACAGAAAACTTGCGCTTGGTTTCGTCCTTAAATACTGAAATTCGGAAAATATTCACATCGGTTCCTACTAATCAAATAACTTTTATCTCTATTTGTTAAAATTAAACAGACGGAAGCGTTGACCAATTCCTCCTTGTCCATACTTAATATAAACAAGAAACTGATACTGATAAGTGGTATGTAACTTGACAAGGAAAAAGTAGCAGGTGGAAATTAACCTGGCATTCATATTCGGAAAACTCTGTGCAAAATTACTTTCTTTACAATATAAATCCATGAAGTGGACAAAACTAGCATGGAACTTACAGCACAGATACATCATAGGATACAAATTCAACTCAAACTGAAACACGTTTTTGATGATTGTGTCTATTTTTCATGCCGTGTGCCATCTCAAGTGGGTAGTTCCAAAGAGAGACACGATACAGCCACACCCAACAAACGAGCAACACTGCCCAAAACTGGTCTCACCTACAAAAGCCGATAGTCACGGAAACTCCAGTAATCTACCCAAAATGGTGTAGTCACGACTGGCAACAGCTATTAAGTAGAGGACGTCAACGTAACCTGCTGGAAGTAGGTTTCGATTGCACACATCTGATAAGCATACCTACCGAAAGCGGTTAGATGAATTTGTCGCATTAGATACTACCGTGAAAGAGTAGCAATGGGTTTTTCACAATTGAGCACATGCAGGAAGATAGGCTTTTAGTTGTACGCTTATTTGTCAAGCTGGCTACATCGATGCTAAAGTCCCCATCTCACACAACTGTTGACAGCCCTATTGGCCATGCTGGTTAGTGGGGTAGGAAAAAACAACGCTTCGTAGCTACCCCGATGAGATGTATATCCTATGAGAAGATGCATGACGGACGTATCTGTTGATATACAGTGCATTCCTGAGTCCCTCGCACGGCTACGGCTGAACTAGACTGCTCTTATTCAACTTTATGCTGGCCATGTGCCATATTGTCACTTTATCTCTTAACAGACCTGTGAAACTCGATGTGACTGCAGAGGATAAAACAAGTGGAAATATCACGAGTTTCCACTAACCACGCAGTAGTCTACTAGGTCGAGCTATCTGATAATTCAATACACATTCCTCCTTGTATACGTGTGCTTCTCGGAGTGAATAACTCAACAAAGTACGCTAGGACTGTAGCTATACCATTGGAAGCCAACTAACCATCTACTTTCTTATTCCTTTACTGTCTATGCTCTAACTCCCCACCCTCCCACATTCGATTCTGGGCTGTAATAAGGATGCGCATTTGTCAAATTCTCTTCACAACAAGAGGCCCAATCCGCGATTCTCGCTCTGCATGGAAGTCAAACAATGCCCGTGAGTGTAGTGTCATTTTGCCAAGAACAATTCTCCACTACATACGTCTGCGTCTGTTCATATGTGTACGATACTACTGTGTGTTTGTACTCACGTCCTTTTGCACAACTCAAACGACCGTATGATACCGGTTTATCGCTCAAACAGCTGGTGCACGTCTACATCGGGTCGGAAGATTCGCATTGCTAAGTGACGTGGTTATGTGCATCACTACAAAAACACTGGTGCGAGTTAGCCGCTTTGGTCTCGTGAAGCCGGTATGTGCTGCCTGTTCGGAAACCAGTAGGACTGTAGTACATTGCTATATGCATTTCCCATTTCGACTACTCCGAAACCGCAGGTGCTACCTAGGATTTATCAACCACCTTAAGTTAAGAAACTTCCAGATGGTAAGCTGGCATTTGCGATAGTCTTCTCCCTTCTTTGCATCCGGTAAGTTCGCACGCTTGAGTAGGTTAGCGTTCTCAAGTGCTCTTACAATCTTCATATTACAAAGCGTCATAGGCTGGCGCAAAATCTAATACCAAGATTCCACAATTAAAGGAACAAACGCGGCTCAAACCAATCTCCTCCCTTTCGTTTTGTTATTTTACTATGAACCGCTATACATGAGTCTAAATCATTGGTAAACTGTCGATGCTGAAGGAGCTCTCTGTGCTCGTGTGTTTATGTCTGAGAAGCCATGACGCCTTCGATGGAGTATTGTGAGCCAGTACGTCTAGATCAGTCGATTCTCGTCACCTTCTGACTCTCTAGCAGGTAAAATAACTATCGTTCACTGCCTTGATTACAACTTAGAGGACGGACTGTTTTAGCTAATCACATCGAGCCATACGTTATGGGCGGAAGCAGATTATCTCTGGCGAACGTTCGGCTGAGGTGTCCGCTCTGATTTGGAACATGTATGTGTAATGTCGGATTGTCCGGAGAGCCGTTAAGCACTTTAAACGCTATAGGTTAATCCTGCTTTGGCTAAACACCATGTGCTATCGTTCAGCTGAGACTGTATATCCCCTGCATTGTTACATAAACCTCAGTTATCTTTTTATTTTTATCGTTCTCCTTCCCCCAACCCCAACCAACTACATCAGGGTGCCTCATCCAGCATCGTGGTCAAATTCGCGGATAGCGAGAAGGAGAGGCATACAAGAAAAATCCAACAGCTCATTGGTCCAATGGGATTGTTCAGCCCAACTTTGGCCTTGTCGCATTTGAGTGGAAACGTATACACCCAGATGCTGGAGGTGAGTTGAGCTCAGCTGAATTGCTTGTGATGCGATGACATTCATAGCTTGTGCGAGTGGGTATGGGAATTAGACGCTGCTGCTCTACTCAAGCAATCGTGTCTTACACAGTCTATTCGCATATCAGACTCTGATTTGTAACACGTTCCACCTTCAAGTGATTAGCGAAATCTGTGCTAGAAAAAAGCTAGAAAAGGAGCGCTTCTCAACCGCGGGAACTTGTAAGTGCTGTTCAGTAATACATCCATCTTAATACGCCTGGCTCAATGAACTAAACGGTTTTCCAGGAGTATTGAACCCTGATGGTAACTCTGCAAATGGCACAGCCACAGCTTTATGAACGGTTGCTGTGATTCCGGTAACAATCTATAGTATCTCTTGGTTTCGTTTTTTTGTGGCATCACACCTTGGTCTTAGTTTTGCACTCTGTAACGCAGGATACCCTCAGCTCTTACACGATTTGTTGATGAAGTTCGAAGCCAAACATTACACATCCAAGTTTGTTAAACTAGAATATTAAAGTGTCGTTTGAAAAGCTCACCCACTCCTTGCCTGAAGTTTATCGGCTGGGTTTATATACTTACCGACAGTTAATCGGAACCCGAGTTCTCATTTTGGAACTATTCAGGGTGTTAGGACAAACAATACAACTGACCATATAGTGTCGTACAGATTGAGTCCTCAGTGAACAAAATACGTTTACATATAAGAAACGACAATAATGGGTGCTTACACATGCAGGCAAAGCTGAATAGTGACTCACTTCGGTACGTTGACACAAAAGAAACTAGCAACGGCTTTGTGAACCAAGTAATAGCCGAAGTACCTAATGGGTCTATTAAATCACTTAACATCGTGCCATACATGGGACCGACTTGTTAGTATTGCTCTGATAATATCACCGACCGTGGCTGGAGTCGTCATACTGAGCTCTTCGCCAGCCGCAGGGCTAATAGCAGCCGTGCAACGCGATCAGAAAATACTCCCTCCAATAGTGGAGATATCTTAGATATTGTAGGATCCCACCGCAACATATGACAGCTTGGATGTGGCTGACCAATACCAAGCGTTAGTTGCTTCAAATTTGACACGGTAGCACCAGTTTAACGCTTGCTTGCAAACTCCATGCAGACATGTCGGATCGGCAGTCAAAGCCGGAATGTATAGATTTAATAGTTGCACATTTACCCCTGGACCACCGAGCTGCGTGGGGATCATTCATCACAACGGTCGTGGACTAATTGCTGAGCTTGGTTGAGAATCGGTACGTGCGCTGGACGAGAATCCCAAACCGAACCAAACAGAGAGTCTCAAGCGTTGTGACAAGCATTGGCCGTGGACTTGGGTGGGATAGAAGTGTGTGGGTCAGACGGCAATCTCTTCCCCTTGGTCAGACTCCAGTCTGGTTATCTCTAGCTGAAGAGTGCGATCAAGTAGAAATCCCACCTTGATGTGCACAGTTGGAGACTGGTAAGATTTAGGCTTTGTCTGTTCCACATCCGGTCCCGTCGATCGAACTGGCCGAGGTGAACTTCGGTCTCAAACGAGGCTGCATATGGCATTCCACCAATATAACGTTACGCTAAAACAGAAAGGCAATAAATGCTTATGTTGTGATTATGATCATCCTGATTAAAAAATGGGTTTGCTGCACAGTGGAGCGCGATCGAAAAAGATCTCAAAGAACACCTACCTTGACTACTGCCGAATCCGGTAGCGGATAACTGACACTTCTAGACATTGCTGTGAATGCTAGAATGAGGTTACTTGCTGGCAACTTCATGTCCATCTAAAATGCACCAACATGATGCCACACAGAGCCACCGATTGAACTCAGTGGTAGTCTGAAGAACGGAACAACGGAATAATGGTGTATTCCTGATAAAAAAGCAATACTTAATTAAGCCCGTGCGATGGACTTTATGGAGAAGATAAACATTCATGATAAAGTGAAAAGCGCTGTTGTGGAGTTACGGCAGGCATGTGCAGATGAACTGCGGTTTTCGCGTCGCTAAAGCATAAATCCATCAATCCATTGGTTGGGATTTTTGAAACAGACATTTTTGTGTTTTGTAGGCCCCTGGCTAACACAAGTTATACAAAAACGAAATGCCAGTGACAACGCTTCGTCAAGACGTTTTAAATATCGTTAGATTAGGAGCAGAGACGACATAATTTGGGAGCGCTTTCTAAGGACGACACACTCTGAGGGAAAAGAAATGTCTACGACACTTCAGCCTGCTATACTGAATTGTTGGTTTCAGAGGTTGGCGTGGTGTGTGTTGTGGTTCAGTTCCAGCAGCGGGCGGCTAATATGGTTTGGGTTCTTTAGTATCTGATAAACTATTATAAGGTCCCCTCGAAAACACCGATATAGACTGCTGTAAGTCACTAAATGCTTCAACCCAAGCTGATGTGGCAGATGGAACTGGCCCCTAACGTTCTTGTTTGCTCGGCGTTGAGGAGTCTCAAGCGCAACGAGATCCTGTTTCTGCCACAGCTACCACGCTTGGATGGCAAATTCCACGTACGGTCGCAAGTAAGCATTAAGCATTGGTAGGGAGATTGAGGGGTAAAGCCGACCGAACACTCTGTGAAGAAGGCCAAGTTAATAATTACCAGTTCTCGATGTCTTTTCTGTTTCTTTTGAGCATCCGAGATCGTCCTGTACCAACACATCCAAGGCACGCTCCTGTGAGACCTGAAACGCATGGTCTCTAAGATTGTACCTGCTCACTGGCTGGTAACGCAGGTGGATCACCTTGCATTTAAAGGTGTTCATCCAGAGTAGCATCCTCGTTGAGCATTCATAGATGCAATCTATGTCATGTTGGAGTAACTCGTGAGCTTCATTGTTATTAATTATTTGCCATACCCTGACGTCATCAGGGAAATCAAGAACTTTGGGACACTTCTTGTCAGCTCGTTGATAAACACCAGGAATAAGCGCGATCCCAGCACCGAACCCTGTGGAACAGCACATTCCAACTCCATCGGGTTGGAGATTGCTTTTTCCTAACACTTACTTGAAGCCTACGTTAGTGAAGAAAGGTACCAATCCAACCAAGAACAGGATCTCCGATTCCGTAGCTATGTAGCCTGTGAAGTAGGATGCCGTGATCCAGGCGGTCGAAAGCTTTGGAGAAGTCCAGATAAATGACATCGACTCCGATCCCACCATCAGCCATTTCCGTTCAACTACCTCTTGCAATCAGCAGGTTGGTGATGCATAACTGGTGTTGACGGAACTCATGCTGCTCCGGTGCCAAGGCGTTGCATTTTTCCATTAAGTCCGTTAGAGCCTCAGCGACGACCGCTTCCCTCACCTTCACCAGCACTGGGCGATAGTTTGCAGGGTCTGAACCGCTACCGCCTATAAAATTTGGGGTGATAACTCCATGAGTCCATATAGTGAGGACTTATTGTTCCTCGAAAAATCTTTGGAAGTACTGTGACAGTTACTCGACTAGCTTGGTGGCCGCAAGCTTCAGTGTTTTCGAGCGGATGCTGTCGGCACCCGAAGAGCTATGATCGCGCAATGAGAGTACCTCTGTTGGCACAGTTGCTGGGTTGAAAATTACATGTATAAATCTTGGAGTCGATAAAGTGGATGAGGGTATGTGACAGGAACAGGGTGCTAGTTCGAAAATCCTAGCGTATGTTTCCGCAGGTAATTAGCTGCTTCGTCGGCGCTTTGTGCCCTTCCGCCAATTGTGAAAAATGCAGAGATGCCATGCTTTACTTTTCAAAGACTACTGACATGCTTACACAACAGCGCGTTGTTTGCCAACACATTTTGGCTAGGCACTGTTGATAAGTTACTTTATCCTTAAGTGCAAGTATGGTGCAATGGTTACGATAGGTAAGGAATTTGGCCCAAGTCTCTGAGTCTGGGTTAGCCTTGTAGGCATGCCATGCAGCATACCTTTTTGCCACGCATTCTTTAGTCCTGCTTCTTAGAATTAACGGCATTGTTGCAGTACGAAGGGGCTTAGTCTTTCAACGAACTGTGTCCAGATATTGTCAGGGGGTCTGGTGTTCGAGAACTCCCGAAGGATGCCGACACCAACTCTTTCAGGACGTGGTAGCGCGTGCTTGTTTGAGTTAGTTCTGGGCGTACAGACGGATACCCTGAATAACAAACATGGTTCAACGTTATTAATACGTAGTCGTTGAGACTTAATGGCCTTTCCACCAATAACTGGCAGATCATGAACTCTTTATTCGTGAGTACGAGGTCCAATATGGAAAGTTTGTTTTCTGTCCTACATCTAGTGGGCGTGGTGACATGATTGTACAAGGGAATATTAGCGATCAGTTCATGCAAGTTTGGTTTGAACTGTTCACTGGGTGATGTCGATAAGTCCAGATCGTGTAGATTGAAGTCCCCGGAGAGGAGAATGTGGCTGTACCTAGTGCGCGTTACCCTGTTCAAGGCACATATCAAGCTGTTCATTTCCGGTGTGAACTTTGGAGAACGGTAAAAGACAGCCACGAGACATGCGTCGTTATGTCTTAGTCGGAGATGGCACTAGATTGATTCTGTAACATGAGTTTCCCGATCAGCAACTACTAAACATTGCTGGTCACTGCAGCAGTAGAGAAAAACCCCATCTTCCGTGCTGGGGAGTTCGTTCCGGATGAGTGGCATTCCTGCCATCTCAAACTCAGCATGAGCAAGTTTTTGGTGTGACTAGGTTTCGTTACTGGAAGTTATTACCCAATTATTCGCTACCAGGCGTACCCGAAGTTCGGTTAGTTTGCTGAGGAGCCCTTCGGCTTTAGTGTAATACATGAACGGTTCCTAGATTTCAGCAATGTGTTGGGGATTGTGCATTTCATACGTAAAGTTTCGCCAACCAGTGAGTGGCCGGTGACTACCGATTTTTTTGGTGGGTACTTGACGACTGGTACGAGGTCTTATTCATCGGCTGCGTAATAGGTCCCAACTCTAGTCTTTTGCTTACAGCGTAAGGTATTTGTTAACTCACGTCGTCAAC